GATAAGTAAGATTTCATCAACTCCCTAGCATCATCTGTGAAACCAAGTGCACCTAACTTATTTAATAAAGTTTTGTGGTTAATTTTGTCATCAATTCGTAAGGGATTATGTTCGGCAAAAGTTATCCCTTCTGAGAAAAAAGTTAACTACAAAAAATTAAATGACTTTTCCTTGCTGCAGGTGCACATGTCCGTTGCTATGACTAGTCCCGCGTGGATGACGATATTGGCTTTTACAACATACAACCCACAACAACACGGAGGCGACTGCCAACTGCAACGCACAATAGCAGCCGAACCTCGTCGCACGTATCGACACGCGACTGTTGGAGATATTTCCAAAGTTTAAGAGTAAATGTATGGGGATATCTGTATTGGGTGCAGTATGCTTAATAGGTGCGTAGAATTACTGGGGTTGGAGGCGTATACATATACCAACGTCAAAAAATTGAGATATACCCTATCCCACCCTCTGCAATCACTGTCCCCAGTTTTTAACCACTACAAACATTTTCCGAATATGATTGGGAGACCCCGAAACATTAAAGAACGAAGTTTTTTCGTTTCTGGTCTTTTTCCATGCCGCCACTACAAAACTTTTTCGTCCTTAGCATAGTAATAACTGTATGTGAAAATTTCATCAAAATCCGACCGGTGCTTCCCATGTTATAGACGGGCGGATGATTAGCGGACAGGCAGACAGACCGACAACACAAATAGACCAACGGAAATGAGGGACATGGTCTTTACGTGATGTACGTGTCATATAACATCCAAAAAACACGTCATATTTTCGATTTTATATGCGAGTACAATACTTCCTCGCCAGTAAGCATGGGAAGTAAAAGCACTAGAGGTAAAAAGTCATTAGCGTAGAATATATCTTTTTTCTTCTATAGAGGCCAAAATGTCAATGCTGCTGGTGTCCTTAATATCTCAATCCATTCCGAAATATAGTTTTTTCTATTTCAAAATTGAAACTTGAACACCCTGTATCGTGATAAGCGGGCATTTCATGTTTATAATAACTTATAACTTGGTATTTTTGGATCTACTTTCCACCAGAAAAATTATCAAGATTTCGTGAATCGCCATTTACAGTATCTTGTATCTAATCCAAGACAACTCAAGCACCCATATGATCCGACAGTTACCTTCCTGCCTTTTAGGCGTAATTTATACAGGGTATCATTTTCCTTCAGCATTCGATTTATAAATTGGAAACTTATTAAAATCAACTAGAATTTTGCAAGTGAGATTAGAACGCCACTATGCAACGTGTACTTGTGCGTTTCAATTGTTTTTTTATGGTAGATTTATTCTCCAGTGTGCCTTGTATGTATACAGAATGTTTTAAACACCTTGCACCTAAGTTTATAGACATAAAATATAAGATAAATATATACATAGTTTGTCGACCAGACTATGATGAGCACCTTCTTCAGTCGCACCATCCTGCTGAAATCTTAGCAGGCCATGGCATGTGATTGTTGTCTGCGACCGGCAGGAGAAAGTGATGATGACCCAAGGCCGCCGGTGAAAGTTTGATGACGGTCGGCATGTTGGAATTTACTTGGGGAATTTTGGCTACTCATGCTTATGGCGATGGAATCGACGACGTCGAAAATTTAGTTCAAGTTCAAATAGATCCGACGAGAACCGGGAACGAATTGTTATGTAACTTAGAGACAATTCGTTGAACGGTCAAGAAGCTTAAGCAATTTTCATATTTTGAAAACACCTGCGATGCTTGAACTATTATTGTTAAAAACGTAACTGGTCTGAATATCTCATGGCAATAAACATAATTTATAATGTACGTAACCCTCCAACAAATCCGAAGCTTCTACTAAAATATACCCTGAAATGTCAAATATGCAACACGCCTGTTCCAGAGTTATTAGTTTTGGCTCCAAAATGATTTACACATTAACATTGGTGTTACATTTACCTCGAGGATGGAATTTTCTATTCAGCCCTAAAGAGACTTTTTATTCTGCTGGTGCGACCAAAACCTGAGTACGCTTCTTTGATATAGAGAATATCTTAGAAAATGTCTGCAGTGGTTGAATTTTTGTATACGCGTTTGAATTCTAGAAGGATTTTCTACTACAGTACCTCCCATAACAACATATTATTTTAATCAACGTTTTAATCAATATCTAATGATTGTAATTTCATAGCAGACGGTTCTGATATTAATTTCAATTCAATCAGTAAAACTTCAGGGACTACAATAGCTATTTTTACGTTCGTTTTATGTGGTTCGTGTATGCACTCCAAATTATCATTATATTGCCTGCGAGTGGATTAGTTCGTTGGGCCATTATGTAAGTAAATGCCTTCTTTTCCTGTACGAATATCTGATCACTGGTTCCATAGATTGCTGCATATAAAGTGATGTAAAGTGATGTCATTCAAAGTGCTAGAGCTAATTCTGCGGTTGAGGAGAAGAGCAAAGAGGAAGTTTGGCAGACGACGATGGTACCTGACCTAAAGGTAATCACTAGTCCAGAAGCCGACTGCAATTTTGGTGATATCGTGTTCTGAGATCATATATGATAAAAACTCAAAATTTGACTTCAAAAAGGTCCCATTACTTACTTTCCGAACGGCACGGGTATCACGTATCACATTATGCTGATTATTTTTGACATTGTATTGGTTTTTTGTGTGTAGGTTTTTCTACAAGATGTTAACTTGGCACTAGCTGATGGACACGTTGTGAACGCGTAATGTCATTGTCTGCTTCAGAGATTGCATTACTGGAGGTCTGTATACTATAGCTAGAAGGAAACGGTAATGCACAGGTGCATAGTGAGGAGTTGTGTGCTAATAATATGTGTTGATGATAATTCCCTTGGATTCTTGTCTCAAATACACTTGAGATTCATAGCTAGAAATTAGTTGCTCATCCACTTTTTCTTATCCATTCTGGAAATTGCATATGCAAATTTGCTGAATTTAAAAAATGAGAGAGATAAGGAATAATTATATTCACTGCACACTGTCGAAAGTTATATACATGCTAACAGTAATTACGTCTTTGAAAACACAAAAAAAAAAACGTAAAAAATCGTAATTTATAACTTTGAACATAACCTGTCTTCAGAAGGGACAATATATAAATAATACGTCGGGCACAGCTAATAGATATACTTCATTGGCAGCATATTCTGTAATGATTTTCTCATACAGCAAATATCACTGATTTTATACACATGCAGACCAATACATACAATCATCCAGATGCGATCTTGCTATTCAACCAACTTTCTTCTCAGAGATGAAAACTATAGTCTACTCGGCTGCACAAAACATATGCAACCAACAATGCATGTAGTTGAGTAATTCCTCCATAGATGGATGCTCACAACGATCCTAGTCCAGCAAACGTGGAATGACTGTTTGCACCCTAAAAAATACCTAGTCTGCAAGATATTTTCTGTTTTTTTTATATAATACCCGCACGGGTCCAGCTAGCAAGCTGAAATTTGAGGTCATGAAATAAATGTATGGAAACCATATTTTAGCGTGAAAGTGGCAGTTAAAAATTTCAAGATAGTGGCTAGGCCCCATTGGGATATCATTTTTTTTAATGGTATAAGAGTTCGTGTGGTACCTCATTTTGAAGCTCCTCACGAGTACTTGATAAGTCTATACTAAACTATGCATGTGACTCCGCTCGCGTGGAGATAGTGTAAGGTATAAGTCATTCGTCTTGCATTAGTGTGAAAGAGATTAATTACTTTGGCAAATAATATTTTTTATCCAACATTTTAATGCAACATTAAATTAATTTCAATGTTTCTCTTTTTTATATCCTTGAAATAAAGTAAAGAGTTTATCTGATCGTAAAATGACCTTGATGGTCATGGTCAGGTTCATTAGCAAAGATATACCTTAACTTCCGAAATTTGGTCATAGTCAAGGTTACGGATATACTTCTTGCTCTTTTTATTTCCAGTGTCAGAACTAGTCAAAACTGTCTTGGCTGTCCCTACTTTCTGAACACCCTCAAATACCCGTAAAGATCATGGACAAAGACATACTTTAACGTAAAATTTCCCTCTCTTTACATTGACGGTGTGCTTTTGACAAGTAGTAGTAGTAAATAAGAGTAAATAGCACTCAAATGATTTATTCTTTTTATTCATATTATTCTCGATAGGGAAAATAAGTCATTTCTAAAATTAAACGTTTTGAAAGACGTTTGTCTTTCGCCAAAAGTTTTTCAGATGGAATGTCCTGTTTACTGAGCATGTGATACCAAAGCACACCTTTTAGAATACTATGACTTGTTGACAAAAAACTGGTATGTCATGAACTTCACATCGGTAGTAATAACATTCAACTAACCCTTTTGGAGAAATTGAAGAAATGAAAAAATCATTTTTAACAGCTTTCCAAGCCGAAACCAGAAGCATACTTTACATAAAATATTTGTACTACTTGTACGCAACAATATAGATCTTGAACAGAGACAGTACCATTTTTGGTTCAATATCCTTTCTATTTTAGACTGCTTTGTATCAAACAAGTGGTATGTACAACCTACGTTATTCATTTTTAAACGCATGTTCAGCTCTGCTAATCTAAGTAATAAATTCGATATTAATCCTGATAAGCCTAATATGTGCACAAAATCTGTAATGAAGTTTGAACAAATTTGGATTTCACCTTATCGATGTCTAGATATAATCCATTCCTTTTCAAAAACAAAGCTTATGGACATATTAACTTCGCACACACTTTTTGAACATTTTTAAACTTAATTGGAATGGTGATTCTTATTTCCATAGATATGTTTCTGTAGTAGTAAAATCTGGAAGTCTGAATAGCGTTTATGGCATTTTTGGAATAATCACGTATGAACTACACGCTTGATGAATATACATATACACGAGTTACCATCGAAAGGTATAGTATATACCATTAAAATAATAGTAATGAATAATGTTGACGAACTCAACATAGCTGACTACCAAATAAAACAAAAAGTATATTCACATTTCAATTTATTGATATTGTGCTGTTAAAAAGCTCCATCGAATTATAAAATGAATAACATGTGTAAAAGCTATAAAATATATTTTATTCTTTTGGCAAACAGTGGCAGTCGTATTGGTCAAGAACTCGTCTGAAAGGATGAGGGCAGCTACCTTCCGGGATGTCCATGTTTATCATGTCGGCAACAATCTTCTGGTACATTTCTTCTTCTTGTCTGCCTCTTGTAAGTTGTCTGTCCAGCTCCTCTTGTTCTTTTCTCTGCAATTTGTAAAAATCCCATAGTATTTCATTATCTATACTGGGTGTCCGTAAATGAGTAGGCAATCTCTCGGATGCACATAAATCACAAAGAATAGACTCATAAAAATATAAGATTCATAAGCAGCCATCCATAAAGCTTCATGATATGAATTTTTGGATCACTTGATCAAATTTTAAGCTTTTATACAGGATGTTTGATACACGAACCAACAATTTATTTTGAGTAACTGGAAAGGCTATTAACGGGTTTTTGTTGAAAACCGCAATGCTTTATGTGCTACGTTTACTGAGATATAACTATTTTTTATTTCTATGCTAAATTTATTACTTCTTTGTTTGTCGAGATACTAAAACAAATTAAACATGGTTGAGTTTGATTACAAAAAAAAACATTTTTGGAGTCTAGCTTTGTTTATAAAGGTTCTGTTCTTTGTTATGCGCTCAAAATAAGAGAAAACAGTTGGGTAGTTAATTAATTTTTTTAAGCATCATTGCTTTCATCCGTCCGACCAAAAAGTCAGCCAGCCAGGAACAGCTGTTCCGTGCTTCCTGGCTACTCATCAGCATGGTTTAGGCTTGATCTCTTGTCTCTGGACAAACGAACGAAAGCATCGCAACTATCCTCTATACGGGAGGTATGGTCTATCGAAATAAGACAGCGCAAAGCGCCATCCATCATACCAGAATCGACCACCGCGGAAAGTCCAGAGAAAATGCATACTTTTGGCTCATTTGCCTACTTTTACCTACCAAAGTGGCAAGAATCGACCCACATTCTTTTCTCTAGAAAGGTATTCCAGTAGCCAATTGTAATCAATTTTAGCATGTTGCGATGTGAATCGCTCAGTTATTTATTTCGTAATGACAACAGTCTAGCTCCTTCTACCTAGTTTGAATTCGTAGGTAGTATATGAGATTCCACAATTTTTTCGACGATCCTGGCTTTTCTATCGGGTTTAGTCACGATTATAAGTACTACCGCATGATATACATACCCTTAACATGCCGTTGTGCTCAATTTGCTTTGCCAGATCATCCCTGTATTGACGAACAGCTTCAGCATGTAAACGATCACATTCAGCTTGCAGTCTTTCGTTCTGATCGAACACCATTTTGAGCAGCTCATTCTCGGCTTGTTTCATCTTGAATTGTCCTTCAGCCGCTCTTTTCTTATCTGCAATCTGCTGCGCTCTTCCCTCTAACACGCTCTAAAATCGATTAACGTAGAATACGTATATCCATGAGATGTGTGGGATTAGAGATCGTCGATATTGCTATTTTTGAATATATGTTATACCTGATATGGTTGCTTTTTGATAACAGCGATTTAAAGCCGTGACATGATCACGATATCACAGAGAAAACGTGGTCAATCAAACAGTTGTTCTGGAAAAAGGTTTAATTGAAACTGAATTTTCTGGAACCAATTTAGTTGAAATTAGTACAATATTAAACCAATTTAAACTGCTTAATTAGTTTAGCTCATTTAGTTTATGTAGAAAAGGTAACATTTGAAACAATTAAACATTTTAATAAAAATAATTAAACTGCTTGTTTGAATCGTGGACTCGGACGGGCTCGGCTCTGGTTTTAAATCTAAATAGAATAATACATTAAACTAGCAAACACTTTTATCTAAACTAATTAAACAAATTTAATACATGCAATTAAATGATTTTACTTGGAGCAGGTAAGCTCATTTTAATAGTTCAATAACTTTAAATAAATTGGTGTAATAAATCTAAGTAAACGGCTTAATAAATTTAAATAAGCGGTAATTAGACTAGTTGCATAGATTCAAGTAACAGATATTTGGTAACAGTCGTGATTCGTGATTTATAAATATCAGTTATTGAATCACAGTTGGTGAAATATAAGCTACCGCTAATCTGTCAGGCTACAAATACAATCAAGTTACAAATAAGCATGCAATATTCGCTGAAGCCAAATGCTTGTGCCCAGCGTTGAAGTTGAACTTGTACACTATTGAGATGTATGATGCATAATCAAAAAATTTAATAGAATTAATATAATATAGATCATGAAATGACTGGTCAGTGTAGTACAAATCAATTTGACCACAGCCGTGGTACTTTGCCCAGTAATTAAAAAAAAAACTTGACAATCAGAAAGAAGCGCGGATCAAGCAACAATGTCTAATGATGCTGTGCTATGTAATCTACATCGCATCTATATAGTTATAGGAATATTCTAAAAGTTGTGACTTTCCTTTTCATAAAAAATTACCTTTGAAATAACAAAATTTCTTGCGCGATAAAGCAGCAGCGAATTAACAAAAAAAAAGTACACATGTTGAGTATAAATACTGTTCGCGGTTGTCGCCGTTCAATTAAAAAAATGACATCAAAAACAGGTTGGCTACGAACATCTGTTACAAGAAAAATAAATAGATCAAGTCAGTTAAACCGGCCGATACAGTAAGTCTACAGTCATAACCGGTGTGAAGTAGGCAGACAAAATTTAGCGGACAATTTGCCGAAGATACCCGAATGACCAGTGGCGTCGACATCCTCGACCAGACTGTGATTGTGAAGGATACAGCTAACAGCTCGCAACAATAAATATACAGGGTGACTTTGAAGTTGAGTCATTTATTTTAACAGTGAGTAGATCTGATCAAAAGAAATGTTTTTTTCCTTTACCATTTTTCTGTTAAAATTAAAGTAACAAAGTTATAGCCCTTTGGAAGTTTGAGTACCGCCCTGTCTCAATAATAATATTATGTACTCGTGTTTGGCGACAACGGATATAATCCGCTGTATCGGTTCATCGCATCGGAAACAAAAAAGCGAAAGAATTTGGAACGATGTTTTTACATTTCATTCATTTGTATACAGTCAGTGTCAGTGAATAGTGGTATCTGTTGCGTGGCTCAAACGAAATAAAAAATGGCACATGTTTATGCGGATCGGTTTCCAAATCGAGTGCAACCAACCCCTCGTGCCTTTGTTAATGTAGTACAACGGGCTCGTGAATCAGGTGACTTAAGACCTCACAGGGGACCTCACGATCAAATACAGGTCCGCACTGAAATACTTGTCGGGAGGATACTTTATAAAACAAGGTAAAATTTTTTTTTTATTTTTTTTTATTTTTACACACATATTTTGGTTTATCTTCCTTCTACAATCATTATCTGAAAATTAATGACTCAACTTCAAAGTATATGCACGAGAATAAGCACCCCTATAGGAAGAATCATTTTCCACCCTAATTAAATAATTCGCAGGAACAAGAGTTAACCCAAAACCTTTCTTCGAATTTTCACTTACCGATTACTGTATTGAAAGTAATTAATGAGCTAAATAGCATATACTGAGAAAATCTCTAAAGGGGTACTAGATGAAAAAATATAAATGAAACTTCGTTTTCACCCCCAAAAAAATGATTCCCCAAAATGATTTATATCTCAAAAAATTACTCTATTACAGAGACAATTCATGGGCTAGGTGGCATGCTGTGAGAAAGCTTGTGAAAGGCTGGCAGATAAAAAAATATGCTAAAAAATTCATTTTCACCCCCAAGGAAATGATTCCCCAAAATCAGTTGTACCTCAAAAAAATACTCTATTATAGAGACAATTTATAGGCTGGGTGGCATGGTGTGAGAAAGCTTCTGAAAGGCTGGCAGACAAAAAATATACTAAAAAAATTCATTTTCACCCCCAAGGAAATGATTCCCCAAAATTAGTTGTACCTCAAAAAAATACTCCATTATAGAGACTATTTATAGGCTAGGTGGCATGGTGTGAGAAAGCTTCTGAAAGGCTGGCAGATAAAAAAATATGATAAAAAATTCATTTTCACTCCCAAGGAAATGATTCCCCAAAATCAGTTGTACCTCAAAAAAAGGCAGCCATATGTATATATTAATGGAAACGTATTATATCTAGGTGAAGCATTTAGTTAGTTGGCTCTGCAGAGGTCACATATTTTATTACGCATTTTCTCGTTTACGTCTATATTTTTCTCCAATTACATTAATACACAGCCTACAAGCGAAAATACAATCTGCCTTGTGTCGAGCTGTGGAACAGGGACAGAAAAGGCAAATATCCGTCATAACTGAGCTGTTGCGTAGTAACATCCACTTGAAATTTATCCTTTGTTCATCTATATCTACTTGACAGTCCAGCCTCATGTTTTTGGAAAAAATGTATTATATAGACACCGCAGTCTTTTTGTATAACGTGGTCTGGTATTTTAAAATTGAACTTGGTTATGCTTATGTTTTTATACCGCAAAAATGTTGACAGTCTTTCAAAATAAGTATTTTTGAAGAGTAACTCATTACCCATGGGATCAAGAAACGTCACTAAATTTTCCGTGATAGAGAAAATCAGTAATGTGTAATGATTATTTTGGAGAACTGGCATAACTATTAAATCTTTGGTGAACGTAACGCTTTCAACGAAGGAAATGGGATAATTGTTGTCAGAAAATATTATCGATGATTTCGAAACTGAAACGATTTGGAATTTGTTGCCGCTGAATCTATTGATTGTGTGCAGGCAGTGATCTACGACGAAATTCTTTATTGAAAAGTACAGATCCCTGTTTACTAATACTACGTAACCTCTCTTATCCGGCAACTGTCGGTAGAAATAAATGTTTTCTACCAAACCGTTATCCATAACTTTTATTGGTTCGGCAGTTGTCCACTTCCTACAACTGATTTTGGGGAATCATTTCCTTGGGGGTGAAAATGATTTTTTTTAGCATATTTTTTATCTGCCGGTCTTTCGGAAGCTTTCTCACACCATTCCACCTAGCCTATAAATAGTCTCTATGATAGAGTATTTTTTTGAGGTACAACTGATTTTGAGGAATCATTTCCTTGGGGGTGAAAATGAATTTTTTTAGCATATTTTTTCATCTGCCAGCTTTTCAGAAGTTTTCTCACTCCATGCCACCCAGCCTATAAATTGTCTATATAATAGAGTATTTTTTTGAGGTACAACTGATTTTGGGGAATCATTTCCTTGGGGGTGAAAATTAATTTTTTCAGCATATTTTTTATCTGCCAGCCTTTTAGAAGCTTTCTCACACCATGCCACCTAGCCTATAAATAGTCTCCATAATAGAGTATTTTTTTGAGGTACAACTGATTTTGGGGAATCATTTCCTTGGGGGTGAAAATTAATTTTTTCAGCATATTTTTTATCTGCCAGCCTTTTAGAAGCTTTCTCACACCATGCCACCTAGCCTATAAATAGTCTCCATAATAGAGTATTTTTTTGAGGTACAACTGATTTTGGGGAATCATTTCCTTGGGGGTGAAAATGAATTTTTTTAGCATATTTTCTATCTGCCAGCCTTTCAGAAGCGTTCTCACACCATGCCACCTAGCCTATAAATAGTCTCTATAATAGTGTATTTTTTGAGGTACAACTGATTTTGGGGAATCATTTCCTTGGGGGTGAAAATGAATTTTTTTAGTATATTTTTTATCTGCCAGCCTTTCAGAAGCTTTCTCACACCATGCCACCCAGCCTATAAATTGTCTCTATAATAGAGTATTTTTTTGAGGTACAACTGATTTTGGGGAATCATTTCCTTGGGGGTGAAAATGAATTTTTTAGCATATTTTTTTATCTGCCGGCCTTTCAGAAGCTTTCTCACACCATGCCACCTAGCCCATGAATTGTCTCTGTAATAGAGTATTTTTTTGAGATATAAATCATTTTGGGGAATCATTTTTTGGGGGGTGAAAACGAAGTTTTATTTATATTTTTTCATCTAGCACCCCTTTAGAGATTTTCTCAGTATATGATATTTAGCTCATTAATTACTTTCAATACAGTAATCGGTAAGTGAAAATTCGAAGAACGGTTTTGGGTTAACTCTTGTTCCTGCGAATTATTTAATTAGGGTGGAAAATTATTCTTCCTATAGGGGTGCTTATTCTCGTGCATATATATTTATTGTTGTGAGCTGTTAGCTGTATCCTTCACAATCACAGTCTGGTCGAGGATGTCGACGCCACTGGTCATTTGGGATCTTCGGCAAATTGTCCGCTAAGTTTTGTCTGCCAACTTCACACCGGTACAGTCATAACCCATCTGGTAACGTTTCTATGGCCTTACCACTTGCCAACTCCAGCAGCCACCCATTGCTCAGACGTTGGCGCAAGTATATAAAAAGATCCGTATGCTGATCATACTTCTCCATCATCCTAAGTTTCAGGGACAAATGTACGGGGAAACCTATGATGTGTAGAATATTTTAATAGGTGCGTAGAACTACCGGGGTTGGAAGCGGACCTCCTGCGACTCAAGCGTCCATCTTTAAGCCCTATAAATTTTTTTCTGAAAATGATCGGGAGCGTCCGAAACATCAATTTAAGTTTGAGCGAACCTTGTGTCAAAATTTCATCAAATTAGCGGACAGACAGACAGAAACAGAAATTAATGACACGATTTTTCATGATATATATTTCACATAGTATCCAAAAAACATATATTATCGGTTTTATTTGGAAGTTTGTTCTCCAATTTGAAACATTTAGGGCTGTCAAGGTCTTTCACTCTGCCCACTTGGGCATTCTTGCAAACGGCTTTTGTACGACATAAGTGAACCTATGCTGCGCGAGGTGGAAACGTCCAGGAAAACGATCATATTTCACCCGAGAACTAACATCAAATCAAAATTTCGTTATTGCTATAAGAATATTAAGACTTTGGTCTTAAGTGTTAAAAAGAATATTTACTTACTTCTACAGGAACTATTTGTTGTACAAAGGAAAGTCTCTACTTGAAAAACACTCCGTATTTGAAACCTTGTGGTTCTTAGCGAAAAAGTAATTCGAATGATTTTGCTTTGAATGTCTCAATTACCTTTTGAAGTGCCGCTTTGGCTTCAGCAAGCTTACACTTGGCTTCATTTTGTTTCCTTTCTATCTCCTTCTTATGGATTTCCAAAAGCTCTTCCAACTGTCTCTCTTCTTTCTTTCTTTCTACTTCTAGTTCTTGCAGATGTTTCCTGTACATTTGAACTTCTTGGGCAGCTTGGGCAGATTCATTCTGAAAAACTCACGACTGCATAAAATGAAGATGACTAAAAGAGATCAACTACTATCTATGAAATAGAGAATTCTACCCGCGACTAATAGTGATCAAAATGAAGTAGCTTAAGTCACTTACGCCACTGCTAGTGAGATGTATCTTTGTTTAGAGTATTTTATAATTCTACCCGAAACCGTCAAAGAAAAGGTGTGTGAAAAAAGTTTTGAAATCCTATAAAAATAGATCGTACGACACAGCATAACAACCGTAGACTTTGTATATATAAAGACGCGAGAGTGGATCAACTGCTTTGCGACCGATATTGCAGAAATCACGCGGAAATGATGAAAGCGAGTATTTTGATGGCTTACTGGGTCTATGCTAGATGCTCCATATGTCTGCCGTTGGCGCTCTTAATATGAGTGATTTGATAGGAGGATAGGGTGAAAAGTTCTCGGCCTGATAATGAAATACTTTGTATATTTAGCATAATCTAATGTACCATAATATTTATGATTTTCTAGATATGCCCCCACGCCCTTCAAACATTTTTGAGGATGAAATCGTAATCATAATATAATAGATATAGTTTCTTCTTGCCGATGTCTAATTAGCCCCCCTGAGAAAAATTCCTGCGTTGAGGAAATTTGTGGTACCAACAAACGACATGTGCACCCATGCAGGAATTATGAATTATCGCTGATTGGAGCGCGATGAAAATTTTTGCAAGTGACATTTTGGAGAACATCTGAGTCAAAGAAAATAGAAGGACCTTGATCTTGAACCTCCTTGTGACGACGAGTACACACCAAAACCGGAGAAGCACTGAAATATCAAGCCCTACCAGTATAGTGAAATACTATAAATGTGCGCAGATCTCGCAGTATACCGTCAACAGTTGCGTGCAGTGCTTTTTAAGCTACAATTTTTTGTGTTTGACTATAACCATGGACCACAGACGGCAGAACTGATTTCTGGTGTTATAGATTAGATCAGTAATAGACAAATCAAATAAGGTTCTCACTTTAATTCTGTCCCTTTCTCTCTGGTACTCCAGTTCTGCCAGTTTGGTGAAAGCACGGTTGAATGCTTCTTCCTCTTCTTTCCGCTTTCTTGCATACTCTTCCTGGCTAGAGATTTGCTCCAACAGTTCCTTTGCAATTTTGGCTCTCTTCCTTGCGTTCTCATCCAGTGCTACAATTAAGGATATTGATAAGTTTAAACACACAACGAGAACTGTACTAAGGAATAAAAAGTAAGTGCTTAAGGTTGTGCTTTGCCCCTTAAAAGTAATTGTCCTTATAATATAGAAAATGTTTGGCCCTCAGTGAGCAATTGCTCTACGTGATCGGTAAAATCAGATTTGTTATCAGTCACTCCTAAAGTCATAATGTTTCTCGCATCAATGGATTAAGTTCAATGCATCAAGGAGGAGCTATTTCAAAGTACACATTATTTGTTTACACCAAAGTCAATGAGACTGCATTTCATTCATTTGTACTTTAAAAAACTAGTGGTAGTCAAAACTTAGATAAATGCGGTTTCATGGAATTTTATCAACATAAAACTACATGATGCCTCAATAATTATAAATTATTATTTTTACTAGTCTTATTTACTTTAAAAGATAAATAATTGTTCACATCGTTTGTTTATTGTTTGTGTATCATTGTCACTTTTTGTTTCAATTTCATTATAGCTTAAAAAAGGAAAACAAGTAGGTTGACCCTGCACTTCACACATAAAGGATTATGTTCAACACAAGTTAGACCCTCTGAGAATAAAGCTAGCTACGAACATGTACACCATAGAAATTAAACAAAAAAAAGCCAGTCAAACAGGCCCATTAGTCCATAGATACGTGACTTCAGAAATCTGAGCGGTATTTTCCAAGTTATAGACTGACCAATAATTAATAGGACAGACCGACATACAGACAGACTGAGCGATGAAAATGAGTGACATACAATTGTATTAAGTCATATAACGTCCAAAAACATAATACCTTATATTTGCTTTCTTTACCAGTTACAAAACTTCCTCGTCAGTAGGCGTGAGAAGCAAAAAATTAGAACTATAGTTTCGTAAAGATACGTCAAATACCAAGCATGAATCTTATCTACAGGATGTTCCTTAATGATATGCGAATATTTAAGGGTGTGAATCTACATGAAAAATTAATGTTAGTTTGTTTTATAAACTATGGTCCAAAAATGTTTCCTTACAAAAACTCGGGGTGTTGAAGTTTGAGGAAAAAAATGGAAATTAATTAATATTTTCAGAACCGCTTAAGATATTTCACTGACATTTAGTACGTAGTGAAAGTTAATAAAGTTGCATATTCTTGAATGCAAAAATAATTCTTAGCTTTAACAGTGGCGTGCGTACCGGGGTCGACTTCGATATTTTTTAAGAGAAAAATGGTACGCCAATGGTTTTTTGCCAAATAAAAATTATTTTTAAATTCCCCGTTAAATTTAAAATAAATAAACTATCTTGAATTGTTTTCCTTCGATGCGCCTTTTTTGAGTAAAAAAATAAAAACCGTTCTATTGTCCGAGAACATTAATTTAATAATAATTGAAGAATGCAATTTAACAATAAATATCTAGTTGCTCTGGAATGTGTCACTGGCTTTTCACATCTGACAAGTCTCTGTTATTCAAATCTGTTCGCTGCGACATCCTTTTCATTATTTAGTTTTTACAATCTTGTTAATAATGAATTATTCAAATGCATAAATGGCGGAAATGCATTACGCATATGGCCTTGCCGACGGTAATGGTGAGCAAGCCAGACGGATTTATCCCCAGAGATATCCCGATCGTGCTTTGCCAGATAGTCGAACCTTTTTTAATATTCATTGTCGTCTTGTTGGAACTGGTTCTGTTCGAAAAGGAACATCTTGAAGGTAGACCTCTAAGTGTGAGAACACCTAAAATTGAGGAAGCAGTGCTACACGAAGTCGAAGAACATCCTGAAACGAGTACGAGGAAGATCGATAGACACTTAAATATTTGCCATCAAATTGCTTGGACAATTTTAGTGGATTTTTTGTTATATCCTTACCATATTTTAAGAGTACAGGCATTACTTCCCATTGATTTTCCAATGCGTGTGACCGTTTGTCAGTGGTATCTTCAAAAAATTACACAAAATCCGCAATTTGAATCAATGATTCTGTTCACGGACGAAGCTAATTTTTCTCGAAATGCCATTCAGAATTTCCACAATAATCATTTGTGGGCAGAAGAAAATCCCTATGCCGTAACCGAAACCCATTTCCAACACCAATTTTCGGTTAACGTATGGGCAGGAATTATTGGCAACCACTTTATTGGCCCATTCTTCTTGCCGGGACGACTTGACGGACAGACTAACCTGAATTTTCTTCAACAACAGTTGCCTTTGCTGCTTGATTATGATCCGTTAGTAATAAGAAACAATATGTGGTACATGCATGATGGTGCACCAGCGCATTTCACTGCAGCGGTTCATAATTACTTACAAACTGTTTATCCAAATGCCCACCAAGGTCCCCAGACCTCAACAAATTAGATTTCTTAGATTTCTTTTTGTGGGGCTATCTTAAGACACTAGCGTACACAAGTCCCATTAACACTGTAGAGGAATTAAAAGAGAATAGTTGCAGCTTGTGATAGAATAAAAAGGATATTTCAACGAGTGCGCAATTCAATGAGAAGGAAGGCGGAAGCATGCATACTAAGTGAAGGGGGTCATTTTCAACAATTTTTGTAATGGTTCTGTTGGTCTTAATGTTATGTTTATGTTGTCAGTTGTTGTTGTTCATTATCCCCAATGTGTTTAATTTTTCCAATTTAATAATAATTTTAGTTAGACAATGGAACGGTTTTTATTTTTTTACTCAAAAATGGCGCATGGAAGGAAAACAATACAAAAGAGACCATTTGTTTTAAATTGAACGGGGATTTCAAAAATGATTTTTATTTGGGAAAAAACCATTGGCGTACCATTTTTTTCCTAAAAAATATCGATGTCAATACCCGTACGCACGCCATTGTTAAAGCTAAACATTATTTTTGCATTGAAAAATATGCAACTTTATTAACTTTCACTACGTACTAAATATCAGTGAAATATCTGAAGCGGTTCAGAAACTATTAATTAATTTCCATTTTTTTTCCTAAAACTTCAACACCCCGAGTTTTTGTAAGGAGACATTTTTGGACCATAGTTTATACAGCAACCTAACATTGATTTTTCATGTAGATTCACACCCTTAAATATTCGCATATCATTAAGGAAGACCCTGTATATTCATTTATTCTGAAACATTTATTGACTATCAAGTAACTTCCCTGTATTTGCTTCTATTGTACTAGACTGTACTTTGTTTTTAAAAAAGCCAATAGAAGTTTTCTGAATCCTCACCTTCGATTTCTTCCCTTCTCATCTTTTCGCTCATTCTTTCCATTTCCATCTTGTCCTCCAGCGCAATCCTGTTAATTTCTTGCTTGTGTAACTGTCTGCCTCGCATTTGTTTGTTCCAAACTTCCACAAGGTCTCTATTTTTATCTTTCTCCGCAAGAAGCTCTTGTTGTTCGCGATCCATCTAGGAATATAGAATTTGTTCTGTTTAAAATCGACATTGCATGTACCAGATCATGATTCACATTTCAAGCTCATTTTATGAGCAGCTAGTGGATTAAGTTTCAACGTAAAGCTAGTCTCAAGTCATGACTAAGTATACTACAATTACGAATGGATGAATTTTGTCAAAGAACGCCCTATTTTGAACCTAACAACGAAGCTTTTCCGTCCTTGACAAAGAAGTAAGATTGCGTAAAGATTTTATCAATATCCGAGCGGCACTTCTCAAGTTATAGGCGGTCATAGGATTAACGGACAGACAGACCGACAGAGGCCTTTCAAATTATAAGTGCATCTACCGTTTCTGACAAAAATCGTACGTAAAAAACCATGCACATTCACCATTTTAACCACCAGTGTGAACTAAGCAAAAACGCATATTAACACGGAAGTGAGCTAAAAGAACAATGAGCTTCTAGTTCTCAGCAATATAATTCCACAAATCAAAATTCAAATTCAAATTCAAAATAGATTTATTTGCCAAAAAACAAAAACAAAAAAAAACATTATATTTACCGTATTATAGAAAATACACACACTTAATATTTTTGGCAAAAAGGACAAATCCTCGATCAAATGACCGTTAACACCCAGCCTTACATAAGTAGGGTGGGTGTGAAAATGCCCTGTGTTACACTAATTTACACATACATGTATATTATAATATATAAACAATATTTTGGAATTTGATGATTTCATTTATTACGAGCATGAACCATTGATTTTGCAGAAGAAAAAATGTATTTACTCACTTAAAAAGTCAACGTTCCGACGGGTGGGGAGCACCGGAGAGAGGGCGAAGAGCGGCAGAAAGCAACAGACGCGAAGCCACACCGACGAAACCTCATACAGTTAACAACACCGAAATACATCTACACACTAAATAAACTAATTTAAATAATTGTTGCGTCTCTGTGATCTGGATGGAAGCTTATTTCGTGGATGAATTGGATACGTAGATTCCGAATCCGACGTCAATTTAGTGTTAGGATTCACATGCAACTAGTGTTTCACCAATTTTGATCTTACCTTGGCTCTGACATCTTTTTGCATCAGCTCATGCCACATTCGATCGAGTTCCCTCTCAGCTTGTCTTTTAGCTTCATTTTCTCTCATTTGTTGCAACTGTGTGTTTTTAGACTCTATGAGATGCTTTTTGATCAGAGCTGGCCTCAGCTCAACACAACGATCTCTAAAAAAAAATATCGTTGAATCGAACACCACTTTCTGGGTAAATAAGTCAGACGGAAAAAGTTGAACAAAGCAGATAGACCCTTAAAATTAATTTTCTAGGTCACCGCTGGGGTCTAGAGAATCTATGAATCATGAGGCAGCACCGATTTGGAGACAGCATATGGGCTAGACTGACGAATAGTAAATCCATTGATCCATTTTTATTAAGAAGAAGATTGGGTGAAGAAATTTATTTCAATCTCTATAAAAAACCTATTTGAACTGCCGAGATGTTGGATATCATGCCTTTATAAAACTAACTGCAAAACGTTGTGGCTGCAGGATCGGGCTCGTCCAGCTTAAGGATTTCTTAAATCGCGCATATTTTAAACCATGAGAGGCAAGATTTAGGGTACCTGTACTATTTTGTCTATCTTACGCAGACGCTATTTAGGATATTTTATTAGTTAAAAGAGATTTTGAAAGATCATAAAAAGTTCAGGCAGCAGCGGTGGCCGCAGTAGTAGACTCTTCGGTCTCCTGAAAAGTCGCCATGCGCTGTGCAGGTTCGAATCCCGTCCCAGGAGAAGTTTTTCTCTTAGCTATGGATGTTGTGATTGTCCGTAGGTGGTAGACGGTCTCTGACTGTCGAACGCGGAGGTACCACCCGGCGGATCTCGTAGGCGGGGCCAGAATGTGTGCATGTTGCATGCACACGTGTTGCCTTGCCAGAATCCGTGTGGCGTTCCCCCTTTTTCCTGTATTCCTCTATAGCATTGATTCCCAAAGTGGTCTATATCGACCCCTAGGGGTCTATGACAACCTGCAAGAGGTCTACGTCAGCGAAAAAAAATTTGGGGTCCATGAAATGAATATGGGGGTCCACGATAGTGAATCTCAACACATACACTGATAGTACCTATTTACTTACATCATACTATTTTATAATATCAAAACATATATAATACGTTTATTCGTTTCCTGAATCTTGAAAAGGAAAGTGCTAAGAAAGTATTTTAAAAAATATAAACAGATAGTATATCACATAAGTTATAGTGAGTCAGTGTTATTTTGTTTGAGAGTGCTGGAGAAAAGTAAGTACATTATTTTTTATTAAATTTTAGTTTTGTACTCGTAGTTAGCAAAGATAGTTAAATTACGCCAATCATGACTTTAGTTATTAGAAAAATAAAAAAAATATTTTTAATATACAGCTGCTGGATTTTCTGTCTTATTTAAATAATTTAATTTTCCCACAGATGACTGATGCCATGTCCGAATCTAAAAAGAAATGGAGACAGTACAGTGTTGATTATTTGAAATTTGGCTTCATTCCATCATTGCCGGACAAACAATCTCCTATGTGCCTTTTATGCAACAAAGTTTTGGACAATGACGCTATGAAACCATCTAAACTGCAAGATCATCTGAGAAGATGCCACCCTGATAAAACAGAGAAAGATTTGAAATACTTTCAAACATTCAAAGATAAATTTCAGAAGAGACCTACACTGGACAGAATGTTCGCTTCGACGTCACTAAGAAATGATGATGGTTTGCGGGCGTCTTACAATATTTCGTTACTTATAGCAAAATCCGGAAAACCGCATACTATCGGAGAGAAGTTAATTTTGCCAGCCGTTGAAGAGGTTTTAAAAACTGTTTTACACAAACCTGCATCTGATATCATTAAAAGAATTCCCTTAAGCAACAATACTGTTGAAAGACGTATTGATGAAATGAGTTCTGATATTGTAAGCTTCTTATATAATTATTTGCAAACGACGAAACGACCCATTTCTCTATACAACTGGACGAGTCAACTTTACCTGATAATGCAGCATTATTATTGCCATATGTTCGTTTTATTATGAATCAAGAAATCTACGAAGAACTGCTCTTCGCAAGAACTTTGATAACCGACACTGAAGGTGAATCAATATTTCATGTTTTGAAGGATTACTTCATTGAAAAAGCAATTCCTTTATCAAATATAATATCAGTAGCTACAGATGGAGCACCTGCCATGATTGGACGTTATCGTGGATTTATAAGCTATTTAAAACAAAATGTGTCAGGGGTGTTAGCAATATATTGCGTCATCCATCGACAACATTTAGTTGCTAAAAATTTGAGTGTTAGATTGCATGAATCACTTCATGTAGTCATTGATGCAGTAAACCGAACCCGAAGCAACGCGTTGAATACGCAGTTATTTGCGCAGTTGTGTGAAGAAAATGACGAACACTTTCATCAATTACTCCTTCACACTGAAGTACGGTGGCTGTCGAAAGGCTTATGTTTGACAAGATTTTTTGCACTTTTTGAGACTATTTTAGAATTTCTGGATACTAAAGATAAAATTTTTAAAGAAAATTTAATGATGAGGAAAACAGACATCGCCTATTTAACAGATTTGTTTACAAAATTTAATATGGTTAATTTGCAATTACAAGGGGACAGTTTAAATTTGATTAAAACAAAGTGCATCTTATCAGCGTTTCTTGCCAGAGTTAAACTACTGAAGCAAAATATTGGACGGAGCCAATTTTCTCAGTTCCCCAATTTGTCACAGACAAGCTGCCAGGAAGACGACGTTTTAACTTACGTTCAACATTTAAATGCCCTCTATTCAGATTTTGAATCTAGGTTTGAAGATATTTTGACTATGGTAATACCACCGTGGATAATTAATCCATATGGTGACATAGAAGAAACGATGTCATGATTCAAGAGGAACTGACTGAACTAAGTACAAACGAAGAACTTAAGGTTCAGTTTAAAAACGGATATCAGCAATTCTGGCTGCAAAACAACATACCCGTTACTTATCCCGTATTATGGAATATAGCGAGGAGATTTTTAATTTCCTTTCCATCGTCATACCTAGTGGAAAGCGGGTTCAGCGCGGTTACCAATCTCCTTACGAAAAAAAGAAACAGGCTGGACATCATTAGCCGAGGAGATTTAAGATTAACCCTTTCAAAATTGACGCCAAATGTTGATAATTTATTATTAAAGCATCAGGTTCATCCTTCTCACTAAAAATATTGACTTATTGCTTATGTTATTTTATTTATAGTTTATTTTATGTTTATTGGTGTCTGACCAATAAATGCCCGCATTGGGAATAAGTGCCCGGATTGATTTTTTTAAAGAACCCCCCTTTATAGAAAATATTTTTTTTTAAATTATTATTCAGAGAATTCAAGGATAGGTACATACTAAAATTCGTTAATTTTTTGCCTATTTTTAGATAACTTAAACGTATAAGAAGCGGAATTTAATCAAACTAACAGTGAAATTATTGTAGAACATACGTTTATGTTATAATTAATAAACGAACTCGCTTATTGTATTATCCCTCTTATTTTTTTTCAATGCGGGCACTTATTCCCAATGCGGGCACTTATTGGTCAGACACCTGTTTATTTAATGTTACGTATATTTTACATAACAGATACAAAATTCTATTTTGAGTAGTTTTAATTTAAATTCAGTTTTTAACACTAAACTTCACTACAGTTAAAAATTTACAGGAAATCAATATCAGGTAAGTAGGGCAACACGGAAAAACATGGCAAGGGGTCTACGACACAAAAAAGTTTGGGGAACTCTGCTCTATAGCCCCACGGTATCCCATGGGTGTTTAGGCCTTAGACCTTCGTGGTAGTTGGAGTATTAAAAAAAAGGTTTTTCATAACTGCGGACATTCTATCTGTCACTAATTTTTTGTACGGGCCTTGTTGAATATGTTGTAATAATTCTGACATCAGACAGAATTGTCGTTGAGCCGAATACTGTACCTACATTAACTGGACTAATTTTTCACTCCTAGCTTTTCTTCAACATTATTTGGAAATGTATCATGTAAAGCTGATTGAAAAATCACATAAGATAATCAGAAAAAATAGAACTGTCTCAAGGGTAACGATTTTCTACAAATTCTCAAAAATAGGATAACTCAAAAACCGCGCACTATAGGAAAATGATTTTTTATGTGGTTTTTATGATTGGAAATGGCTGCCCTATGATGCCGTTCTGTTTGTTTCATGACTCAAAAATAGGATAACTCAAAAACCGCGCACTATAGGAAAATAATTTTTTATGTGGTTTTTGTGATTGGAAATGGCTGCCCTATGATGCCGTTCTGCTTGTTCCATGACTTTTGGGACACCCGCTATATTGCCAGATTTACTGTTCTTCAAATATATTCACCTATATTGCTGAATTCTTTTCTCGTGGACAATCTTCAATCTTTCCTCTTCTTTTTGCTTTTTCAGAAACTCTGAACGCTTCTTCATCTCTTCCATTCTCAGAGCGTCACCCTTCTGTGCCATATCAATAACTTCATAGACGTACTGCCTCTCTTCTTGCGCGAGCAGATCGCGCAGTCTAAAATCAATTCGTATTCAGATGAGGTACGTTGGGAAAAAAGTATTTGAAATTCGTACAACATCAGAGAATCAATGTTATTTACTCCACATCTCGCGAAAACAAAAATAACTGTAAAAAAGAAATCATAGATAAGTTTAGAAAATATAGATTCAAGTTTTAAATTTAATGTCAAATGTTTTCTTAAAATAATTTCCAAAACAAATCTTTAATAGCCTGTTGCAGAATTTACAATTTACAACCGCTACATTTCCACCTTCCGTACCAGGCACTTGTGACATGTAAAATGATTATGAATATGTTTTTATTGATATAGATCAATTTGATGCAGGTGTAAGGAATAAGTTTGCCTGCTGTCATATACCTATACGTCTGAATACAGTTCATTGGCAGGATAAAGTCTGGATTTATCGAATATTGTCTTTAAAATAGTTTTTTGAAAATGTGTTGCTAATATACCATAGGTCAGATGTGGTTCAATAAATGTATGGTACAATGTACGAAGGTGCTTTTCTATAAGACACGAACTTTTTTCAAAAAGATGTGAAATATGGATGTCCCAACGTAAGTATAAATCTAGGAATAATCCGAGATATTTGTTATCTTTGGTGCCTATAAACAATAACAAAAATAAAAATCATTCTGTAGCCTGATGAACCTTTTTCTAATTAAAGTTCAATTAGTGTATTAATGGTATTTTCAGGATCCAAAGGATCTATCAAGGCCTACTATAATCAGATATCAAACATAGATGGAAAACATTTCACGCTCCAGCTCTAAGGAAATAAGGCTACCTTGTACAGACAGACACATTGCTGTAATCTAAGAAACGTTTCCATGAGCCCAATAGTGCATTGATGGTCTTTTCATCTTTTTCACGCCACTGGGTCTAGATGAAATTGCACCACATGGAAAATTGTATTAGAATCAATCTATTTTTATTTTGTAGACCTATCATCTGATACTCACTTTTCCCTTCTTTTCTCGACTGTCTGCTCAAACGCCTGCATTTTCTCCTGTACTTTTTCCTTGATCTGCCTTTGCAGCTGCCTCTTCGATGCGTGGCTATCATATTTGAACGTGATCCTGTCTTGCAAAGCTTGTGTGACCCACTGACTATCTCGACGGTTGTTGAATTCTGCTTTGCGTTGCCTGTATTGCCTCCATTTGACATCGTAATCAGTATTAGGTTCCCGAGCTATCTAACTCAACAGAAAAAATGGAATTTAGGAAGCTTTCCACTAGTCAGAAGTAACATAAACATACATCTTAGAGCCTCTCTGACTGGTAATGCCATGATGACGACGTCGCCAGCATCAGTAGCAAAACCAACCTATTTAAATATACTCAGTGACAAAGAAAATTGGATATCCAGTAAAATAATTAAATTTGAAAAAATATATGCAACTACAAATACCACATATATTTTCTGTTTATTGTATGTCGTTTCGGCCACCACGGTGACCTTTTTTAGTTACAATGACTGTTGAATGTAAAGTGTTCAGTTGAACGTGACGTCAACCAAAGTGCAGCAGCAGTTTTTTAGGGCGCCATTAAATATAGTACTAAGTCACTTCTATTTTCTGTTGGAGGAGGTATGACGGCATAAGAGTATATCCAGGAAATACTGCCACCCATTTTTGTCCGTTCTCGAAACGCTTGAAAAATTCTAACAAAAGATAATATTCATATGGCTAGATCTACAATAAACTACTTCACATAATGCTCAAGTTAGCCTTGGCCTCCTGTATCTCGTGACCCTTCTCCCATGGAACAAGTGTGTGATATAATGGCAAGTAAAGTGACATGTTTATCTCATTCTCCAAAAACGCCACCAGCTTCTCGAACCAAGTACAGCTATATTGCTATGAAATACCTCATTAAGACATAAATTATCTCATCAAAGCAGCGCATTACGGGTACTAAGAAAAAGCAGCGACTCAGCAAGTGTTTTCACACCAAAATTCATTCTGATAAAGTTATTTACTGTGGATTCTACCTTTTTTTGTCACTAATTGTATATAGGACCTCCCTGACGTGGCTAGTGGAGACTGACGCCAAGATCGATATATGAAAAGGTTGGTTACGGATACTGGTGACGTCGCTATGACGTCCTAGTGACCAAGGCTCTTAAATTTTCCCCTTAATGAGATATCTTATTAAAAAAGGTTATAGATGTGTCAAAAAGTCACTGGCGCAGAATTTATCTTTTTTGTGCACTGTCAAAAATACTCCCAATTTTTACGCCACATAATATGTATTTTGGGACACGAGAATTTTTATCAATATTCACAAAATTTTCAGTCGAAACTTTATAGAGTTGAGAGATACACTTTATCTCGACTTTGAAATTATAGCTTGAACTCGATAAAGAAGCATTTCAGGATCCACATTTATACATTTTTTCTTATTTTCGTACTTTTACCCTAGAAATATTGCCACTTTGCTGAGAGACACATTGTATGTAAAAAAGGCTTGAGTTACAAACTACTATAAATATATGAATTAGAAGGTGTAGCATCTAGACCAAAAATCGACAGGTATATTCAAGGCAATCGATAACGCGAGGAACAGAAAAATTATAAATAGGAATCAAAAGAGTAAAGATACAGAATCTTCATGGACTTTTCAGTACGTTTAAGGTCTACTTATACTCATAAAAGACTGTGCATTACTTTGGAACTTCCACAATATGCCAAATTTTTCTGGCACACATCTTGTTTATTTTTACTCAGGCTACAGAATTAAAAAAATACTAACGTGTCCATATGATCCAGGAGGTAATCCTGGACAGAGAATATCCTGCCTGTTTGGTGGGAGCCTAGGTTTTCTAACAGCTTTTGGAATGGGCACTTCTCCGCCAAACATCGTACTTTTTTGTCTCTAAACAATGACTTCAAACTTCACAGTTCCTAAACTTCAAAGAGTGAAGTGAAATGTAACCTACAAAACGTGCTGGTTTTGTCAATGTTGCTATGGGCAGTATAATCCCTCTATTATCAACAGCAAAGTTGGTTGATAGGGCTTATAGAGAGGGTGTAAGTCAGAGGGTGCAGGTGGAGGGTATGTATCTTTTTTCAAAATGCAAGCAGGAAAAAAGCAAAAGGTGTTTATTTTCTGCCATATAGAATACTTTCAGAACAGTGTATATGATTCAATTTTCACAACTAATATACAAGGCGATATTTTGAGCAATGGCGACACAAATTTTTTTTCAAATTTAGGCGTATTGTCCGAAAATATTGCAAGCCAGAAAAAACTTAAAGGTGTTCACTCCGGTTATGGTGCCTATTAAGACAATAAGCTAGGGTTGATCAACGTTTAACAGAGTACAGAGTCAATAACGAGATGGAATTTTTCCAGATCAACGGATAAAAGGGCACAGGGCAGTAGCAATATGAGGACACAAATATTCTTAACATTCTTACTATTTTTTTCAAATCTAAGCGAATTCTTGTGAAACTATATCGACCAGAGAGGACATTTAAAGGAAGTCCATTGCTGGCTATGGTATCTTCTTGTAGAATAACACCATAATGTTAGGGTTGATTAATGTATAAAAGTGGGTAGGGCAAGAAGCATCAAGTTGGAGACACTAAAGATCCTTAAAATGTTCATAATATTTTTCAAATTCTTCTGAAAAATTATGTCATTTCTAGGTAAAACCTGAAGGGTGTTAGTTGTCTGTTATAGTGTCTACTTATAGATTAAAATTATAAGGCAAGTGTTGATAATTTTTAGGTAAAACCTGAAGGGTGTTAGTTGTCTGTTATAGTGTCTACTTATAGATTAAAATTATAAAGCAAGTGTTGATCAACTTATAAAAGTCTACAGAGCCAGTAGCCAGATTGAGACTATAAAGATCCTCAATATCTTATCATTTTTTTTCATATATAAGCGCAGTTTGTGAAGTCATGTCAATAGGAGTTAAAATCTGAAGGGTGTTCACAACATAAAATAAGAGAGATCGACTCATAAGTCGACAGGTCCAGCAGCGAGGATGAGATAATACAGATTCTTAACATGCTTACCATTCTTTGTGGACAATGTTCTCATTCTGTTATTCGTCCATTATTGTATACATCAAGATTACAGTCAACAGTTGCATTGGTATATGCTCATTTTATTTTTCATTTGCATATTATGCAGTCCCCATCATCAAAATTGATAGCTATCGTTTTTTTTTTCTTAACTTCAAATACATGTGTTTTGGAAAGTTGCACCTGAACCAGTGTCTTTAGCATTTCTTGAAAAAAAACTGTTTTAACAATACAGATCCTTAACATGTTTACCATTCTTTCAAATCTAATCTCATTTTGAGAAACTAAAATGTCGATCACATGAGAAAACAAAAAGATGACCATTGTCTGCTAAGGTATCAAATTACCGAATAACACAATAAAGTTATGGTTGATCAACGTATAAAAGTCTACAAGGTTTGCAGCGAGATCATTGCTATAATTATGAAAAAAAGAATATCATCTTGAAGCAACATTTTTTTGCAAACAGTTTAGCTACGGTTTTCTCGCTATAAAATGCCTTAAAATGAAAACAACAACAAATATATCGCACCTTCATTTCCTTTATTTTCGCCTTGAAACCTGACTGGGCTATATCGCTATGATTGTTTCCACGCCGCGTTCGTACCCTAGGTAACCAGGACGAAAATCGAGCTGGTGACAGCTAGTGGGCGTCTCCACTGTCAGTCACGCTCCGGTTAGCCAACCACCAGGATGTAGCCGCACGCGGCGACCCCTGCACACAATGGACGTGCAGACCACTAAGATCGTGGTAGCCATACTCTTCGCAGCCATACGGTTCTTCTTTGGTGTCTTGCCTGTAAAGCTATATTACGTTCTTAGAAGATGGGAGGGAGATGATGGTTCAAACACCTTCGTCAACCAGAGGAGACACACACAGGTCAACTGCGCAATAGCTTTGTGCCAAAGCTTTGGAGGAGGGGTGCTTTTTGCGACTTGTTTCCTGCATATGATGCTAGAGGTCAGTCTTGGTGGACGCACTTCATGCTACATTAGCAAGATTTTCATTGTGACCATCATGCACTCATCAGTATTATCATCTTCACCTAGTTTGGTTTGACAACAAATTTGACTAGAGCATACTTTTTCCTTTTCTTGAACTGTACCAAGTTTCATACAAACTGGTACATTGTCCTCTACTCCACATGTCCAAAGCTAGCTCTAAAAGCTTCAGCCTTTCTCCAACATAAGTTCTTCTTTGAACTCTTGCCCGTCAAGCTGTACTACTTCCTAGGATATGAGATGGAGATGATGGTTCAAACACTTTCGTCAATCAGATGAGGTACACGAAGGTCAACTACGTAATAGCTCTTTGCCAAATCTTTGGAGGAGGGGTACTTTTTGCGACTTGTTTCCTGCATATGATGCTAGAGGTCAGTCTTGGTGGACGCACTCCATGCTACATTTGCAAGATTCTCATTGTGGTCATCTTACACCCATCATTATCATTTTCACCTAGTTTGGTTGGTTAACAAATTTAACTACAGCTTCCTTTTTCCATTTCTAAAACTGTACCAAGTTTCATACAAACTGATACATTGGTCCCTTGAGTCCTCTACTTCACATTGTCCAAAGCTAGCTCCAAAAGCTTCAGCCTTTCTACAAACATGAGATCTTCTTTGAAGCCTTGCCCTTCAAGCTGTACTACTTCCTAGGATATGAGACGGAGATGATAGTTCAAACACCTTCGTCAATCAAATGAGATACACGCAGATCAACTACGCAATAGCTCTTTGCCAAAGCTTTGGAGAAGGGGTGCTTTCCGAGACTTCTTTTCTCCATCTGTTGCTAGAGGTCAGTCTTGGCGGACGCACTTCATGCTACATTGGCAAGTTTTTTATTGTGGTCATCTTGCCCCCATCAGTATTATCATTGTCACCCAGTTTGGTTGGTTGACAAATTTAACTAGAGCTTACTTTTTCCTTTTCTAAAACTGTACCAAGTTTCATAAAAATTGATAAATTAGTCTCTACTCCACTGAGTCTAAGAGCTACAGCGTTTCTGAAACTCGGGCTCCTCTTTCGAGTGTTAGCTGTCACGATGTACCACTTCCTTAGAAGATAGATTGGAGATAATGGTTCAGACACTTTTGACAATCAGAAGACGCTGGTCAACTACCCAGTAGCTCTTTGTCAGGCGAGGTGAGCTCTTTGTGACTTGCCAATACTTCTAGTGTAGAAAGTACCTGCAAAAATAACAAAAAAAGTTCCTATAAATATGGATCCAAAGATCATCTCCTACCAAGGGTGATGAAGTTTTATTGACGAAATTGAAAAATATTGTATCTACGGAGCGGGTAAAGATACTGAGTTGAAATTTTAGACGTTTATTGAGCACATTATAAGCAATAAACACACCGGCCAAAGCTAGGCCAGAGACGTAGAAACTGGGGTACCTGAACCTTTGGTAGGAAATATTTTCTACACCACAGTTTTTTTTTCGGAGACAAGAACTGCATTTTATAGAATACCATCCAATTTTCCATAGATTTTTTTCTGTTAGGGAATGTCAGATCACTCGATTTTTAGGTACTCAGGTTTGAATATTTGAGGTAAAATCACAAAATATTCTTATGAGAAGGTCTAGCCTCCCATATTCTAAAAACAGCGTGTACCTTGATATTGGAAACACTATATGGCATGTGAAGAAAGCTATGGCACCTCATTACAACATTAATTGAATAATTATGTACGTCTTATCCCTATAAGTAGCGCATACGCTTATCATTCAGTAAACCTTTCCTGTGCACGCCACTGGTTTTGTCGGTATATTCATTTTGTTTATAGATAAAAAACTTCAAAACAAAAGTTTAGTTCAAAAATAAACACATAAAGCTAATAAGAATTGAACACGACAATAATAAGCATTTCGTTTGATGCGACTCACTTGGTTATTTCTAAATTTATGAGGATATTGCGAACAAAACATAAGGCTGAATAAATACTATAACATTCAATATAAGGGAGGTAATGAAAGTGACTACCCCTGGTTTTGTTTAGGTCTGAAAACTATGTGTGTTTATTGCTTATGGTGTGTTCACTGAACGTCTGAAACCTCAACTTGGTATTAAATGTACCAAGTTATATTATAAATTATAAAGATATATTCTTTTTCAGTTTTATAAATGAAGTTTAATCAGCCTGTATCTCGATAGCGGAGCATCTATGGACCCATACTTAGATACTTGTTATTTTTGGATGTACTTTCTACCCTAGAAATATTGACACGTCTTTTTCAAGCATCGTATGACACTCGAAATCAGCCTTGGTAAACGCAGATCAACTACGTCAAAGATCACAGATCAAATATGTGGAGAATTTCTCATTCTGTTAATCATCCATTATTGTATACATCAAGATTGCAATCATCAGTTGCATTGGTATATGCTCATTTTCTTCTTCATCTTCTTATTATCATCAAAATTGATAGCCATTGTTTTTTATTCTTAACTTCAAAGACAGCTGCTTTGGAACATTGCATCTGAACCAGTATCTTTAGTTTTTCTTAAAAAAACTGTTTCAACATCATTTTAGTCATATACGTTTGTCAAATCCTGGAATTTTTCGGCTAATCGTTCCACTTCGCTGGATTTTCTTAACACCGATGCTTATTATTCCAAAGTTTGGACCTGTTAATTTACTATATGGATACAAATGCTTTCAATATCGAAATCGTCTGTTATCAGATCATTACAGTGAAGAAACTGTCCAACGAACTGAACCGTAACCAAAGGTGTCTAAGGAAGTTGTGATAAAAATGATAAAGTACGTTATTAACACCTGATCTTTCTCTATTACATAAGTTCTATTATCTTTAGGGTAAGATATATAACATGAAACTAATCTCTTCGGAATTTCCGTTAATTGGTTACATAATTGTATATATGTAACAAGATTATTAATGGGTGTATAGACTCGCTGTTGCGTGAACTTCCGTCTGCAGATGTAAAGGTAGTCCTTTTAAGGATTGCTATTACATTTACCAATTAATTTTTTGTCTGTTAGAATGTTACATTATAACTCATCATTTTGAATGTCAACCAACACACATGTCGCTACTGTAGCACGTAATAATAATAATAACTTTTGTCAGCCTCGTGGATATGAATCGTCAAAATACAGGTTACAGTAATTATTACAAGATAAGATTATTGCGCAATGAAACAAAATTACGACAAAATCGATACGAAGTCATTAACAGAATAATATTTTTCTACCAAAAATGCACACGTTTTTAAAAGAGGAACACTAGCAACTAGGGTTTTAATATCATTAGATAGATGATTGTATACAGCGGCACACAAATACTCAGGGCTTTTACGATAAGCGGTTCGATTGTAATTTGCAATACATATGTCTTTATTGTTGCGAAGGTTGTATTTTTGCTCTTCCTCAATGTATTAAAGCTTGTTATAATTATTTTTTACGAATAAGCAAGCCTCAAGTATAAAAGTACTGGGAAATATCAACAGATGATATGCCTGAAAGGTCGTACTACAAGTCTGTAGAGGGCTCAACGAACTTGTTGCGGCGACTATTCGTCATTTGTTTGTCTGGGTGGTCCGTAGGACCTTTGCCCATTAGTCACTGTCTAATGTACATACGTTAGCCGATCTGTCAGTGCAGGGTTGCCCAGAAAACAGACAATGTCAAGGAAAAAGAGAAAGAGGATAAAAAAGGAGAAGAGCAAAGAAAAACAGAAGTGTTTAGTTTAAGAGGAAACACCTAGGCTCCTTAACTTGGTACACGGATTAATTTGCAGGTGAACTAAACAAATTTTGATTCAGGTTCGCGCTAATTTTGGATCACAGTGCGGGCCGTGGCCTTGGATGTTTACGAACTTGCTCCACTGTGTAGACCACTGAGTCACGCAACAGAATGCTGTTGTGCGATTCCGCTTGACTCTGACGTCACTGCGCCTGAAGCTTGACATAATCCCACAAGTAAGAAATGTCAACGACTCTATGTAGTGTCTTATTTGAGACATACCATGGGGCGTTGCAAATTGTTCGCAAAGTTCTGATTGGCAGTATTTGAAGACTTTGCATTTGTGTCTTGGCAAGCCGCACATGCTTAAGTAATGGCTGGTCTAATAATAATTTTATACAGTCAAACTTTGTTTATCAAACTCAATTCGGAGGATCTACATAACAAAGGATATAGTTTCCGAAACGCAATTTGAAATTTTGTTTTTAATGCTGCTGTATGTTTCTGCCAGGTCATGTCTTTATCAACGGTGAAACCCAAATACTTCGCAGAATTTGTCCATGGTACACGATTTCCGTCTACAGAAACATCTGCTGGGGGGCCGCGACGTTTTTTGATACAATAAATAACCTGCGTTTTCGAATGATTAATTTTAATCAGCCACCATTCCGCCCACTATAGTACTTCGTCCACCGCACTCTGCAACCTATCGTGAACCAGATCACCAGTCCACGACTGGGCGACAAGTGCAGTGTTGTCATCGTACAGGTAGACTTCATAGTTGCTGGGGCAAGGGACATCATAGATAAAAAGCGAATAAAGGATTGGTCTTAGGACCGCCCCCTGAGGAACACCGGCCCGTACTGGCTGTCTTGTTAATTTTGATCCGAAACTTCCTTCCTTCAAGAAAGAATTTCGGTAATTTTAGAAGCCAAAAAGGAAAACCCTTTTGGATTAGTTCATAAAGGAGGTCCGCTTGCCAAACCAAAGCAAGATGTTAGTACTCATGCTGAGGGTTAATCCTCTGGCTACATGTTCCATCAGTCTCACTGCATGTAGCTCGGTGCTATGCTCGGACCGAAAACCGAATTGAATGTCAGGAACCACATGGTGATTTGACGAAAAATTCTCAAGGCGACATCAGACTAATGATAGGACGGTAATCCTGAGGAAATATCGACCCACCTTCTTTGAAATCATGATGACTTCAGCAGTCTTCCACCCAGCAGGGAAGTACTGGGTTTTGAGCATCGCA